GGGGATATTAATAGGGTATTAAAAGTATCAACACAGGACAGAACACGAAACAATGGATATAAATTGGATAAGTTTAGATTTAGGAAAGACTTGGGTAAATACTGGTTCAGTAACAGGGTTGTTGATTTGTGGAACCAATTGCCGCGTAACATTGTGGAGGTGGGGTCCCTCGATTGTTTCAAGCACGGGTTGGACAAGTATATGAGTGGGATTGGGTGGTTATAGAATAGGAGCTGCCTCGTATGGGCCAATAGGCCTTCTGCAGTTACCTTTGTTCTTATGTTCTTATGTTCTTAACTAGAGACTCCTGTCGTGAGCATATCTTTGCCCGTTTCGGAGTCAAGGGTGCTGAGGCGGACTTAACTGAAGAAACAATTTACATTATTCCTAACACTGATGTTGCTCAATTCATCTTTAACCTTAGAAATTTAATACTAACAAACTTAACAAAATCCAACTAATACTATCAGGTAATTTTAATATTGACCTCTGCGAGTCTAATAACCCTCAAGCTGCTAGTTTCCTCAACTGTATGAATTCTTGCGTGTTTATACCCTTGGTCACTAAACCTACTAGAATTACTGATACAAGTGACTCTACTCTTGACCACATCTGGATTACCATAACCTCTCCACTCACTTCTGGGTTAATCATTGACAGGACCACAGACCATTACCCAACATTTCTTCTAACCAATATTTATAAACCACCTTTAGATACAATGATGAGCTTTCGGCTGCACAATGTTACTTCCATAAGCATCTTTATTGCTGCTGCTGCTAATATCAACTGGGAGACTAAATTCGTTAACATAGTGAACATCAATCTTGCAGTGCAACCATTTTTTCACAAAACTCTGAGCTATAATACCCACTGTCCAATGTTAACTAAACAAGTCACGACTAAAAGGTTAAACAATCCATAGCTTACTAAGGGTATACTTAAATACATCAACAAAAAACATGATCATGAGAGAAAACAAGGTAGAGGTTAGGAGTCATCTCCAAAGAAGTTTCAAGGAGGTCCTTTTCAATGCTGTGAAAAATAATTAGGAGAGCCAAAATAAAATACATTGAAAATAAAATAAATTAAATTATGGGCAACTTGAAGAAAACAAGTAGCACTATTTCCAAAATATTAGAATCATAGAGGATTCTAATGAGGTTGATCTTGAATAAGAAACCAATACTCCTATCAAATGGCGATGGTGTGCTATCTGCCTTTAACACTGCCATTAAATTCAATAGTTTCTCCTCATCCATTAGCACATTCCTTGCAAATGATATCCCAGCATCTCTAACTAGTGCTAAAGACTACCTTACAGGAAACTATCCAGAGTCTCAGTACCTAAACCCCGCCCATTCCTTTGATGTTAATGATATGGCAGTTCCTGTGAAGCCGTGTTAAAGTACTCGACAGGCGCTTCGCGAGCGTTTTGGCCTGGGCTCGTATCCTGGTCGTGGAGGATTGACTGGGCGCCAATCATTACCTGTAGCCTCCGTTCAACCAGCAGTGAATGGGTATGCAATTATTAAACGATTTGGGGGGTCGTATTCTGTGGGAAAAATTAGGATTAAGAAGCTGTCCGAAACGCTATGTGTGGCTGTACAAGAATGTAAGAACTCTTTTTTCTTACTTGTCTGATTAATTGATGACTAATTGTGTTCCTATGTAATGCAGAGTGTTTTACAGAATGGGAGAAGGAGGAGGAGGAGGATGGACAACGGCTTGGATAGACAGGTGTTGTGGAGGGCCAAAAGACAGAGGGAAGGGCTGAAAAGAAGGATTGGGTCGATGAGGAAAAGAGGGCACAGGACACAGGAAAGACTAGGTAGGAAGGGAGGAAACTCCAGGCAGGGAACCATGAAGAAGACCCCCAGTTCCAGAACACAAAGGAAAAGAAGGCGAGGGATGTGGTGGAGGTGTCGGGGTCCAAGGCCTGGAAACGGTTGCAGAACTGAGAAAACGGGAGAAGGCGAGGAGAAGAGGAACACAATGGACGAACAAAAGAGATGACGGGACAAGTGGGGAGACGGCATATTTGGCGTCCCGCCTCGGGAACAGATAAACGAACGCAATGTTTCAAATTGAGAATGATTTCCTCAAATTTGTAATGCACACATGTGCAGGAGAGGGCAGGGTGGGCCTCACCGCAATTGATGCAGTGAGCTTGAAGAGAAGAGCCCTCCGTCGCTCTACCATCCAGCACTGGGCTGGAAGGTAAAGTGGTACCAAAAAGCTGAACGGTACCAAATTTTCCGATTCAACATCCTCTAATTAGTTCTGTATTTTAAAAGTTTCAATGAGATCTGCCCTGACAGTCTGGTTTGTAGTAGGCCTGTGGTCCACAACCGTTTCTGATAAAATAGATGACGTAGCCCTGGAATGACTTATGTTGCTCGTTGTTGCACTTCTCCAGAGCAGCTATGTCTTTCTGACGAGATCCATTCTAAACAATTCTCCCTCAATCCGCCGCAAAATGGCTCCTTACAGTGTGTGACTCAGTTGTTGTGCCAATAATCTTATGAAACTGAATGTGTCTCTTACTCCGATAAAACTGTTCACTACATTCCTCCTTGGAAAGATGTACAGGTCTCTTTACTTTATACATCCATCAGTGTAAAACAAATGTATAACACTGAAACTATGAGATGTATAGCATTAGAAGCTATTGACAGTCATCTCTAAAATCTCAAACCGACTGAATCCTATGCCTTTACTGATGGCTCTGTGCAGTTAGGCACTGGTAGAACAGGTTGTGCATGTACAGTATATAAAGGGAATGAAATGATCATATCTAGTACACAGAAACTGAACAGCTGGGCGAGCACAACACAGACTGAGCTATTGGGTATTTATCTAGCCACTGAGTACCTTAAGCTCAATGGTGGTGGAGTGATATTCTGTGACTTTAAAAGTGCTCTGCAGTCCTTAAATAACCCATCACAATGTATGTCTGAAGTAGCTTGTAATATTAAATGGAATGTAATTTCTACCAATGATAATAAATATTGTATATAATTTGTGTGGATCCCGTCGGGAGCCGGTCGGCCGAGCGGACAGCACGCTGGACTTGTAATCCTGTGGTCCCGGGTTCGATCCCGGGAGCCGGCGAGAAACAATGGGCAGAGTTTCTTTCACCCTATGCCCCTGTCACCAAGCAGTAAAATAGGTACCTGGCTGTTAGTCAGCTGTCACGGGCTGCTTCCTGGGGTTGGAGGCCTGGTCGAGGACCGGGCCGCGGGGACACTAAAGCCCCGAAATCATCTCAAGATAACCTCAAGAAGATCCCATCCCATGTTGGAGTTCGAAAACATGACTTTGTAGATCGATTGGCCAATGAGGCTTGCAGGAAATAACACACCGATTATGATAATAATGCAATAATAATAATATTATTATATTAAAAATAATAATAATGATAATGCTAATAATGATGATAATAATAATAATATTAACAATATAATTATTATATTGATAATAATAATAATGCAATTATTATCAACATACAAATTAAAGAAATCAATTCAGATTTAGTAGAACTAATAAATGCCCAGAAACCTGAAAGCTGCAGTATTAAAAGCTATGAAAATTTTGGTAATAATAGGTATTTGTATGGTCAGCACAGTAACAGGACCAGGCAATGTGATGTAGTCATTGCGCGAATTCGCCTTGGTTATAGACACATCTGGCAGGTTAGTGAGGCTGAGCCACTATCAGAATATTCAGATTGCAAACTCTGTGACAAACCTTTAATGCATTCACTAGAACACTATATTGTTGAATGTGACACCGTAAAAGATTTTAGACCTGGCCTATTGTACCACCAACTGTGTAACTATTTCATTGACTCAGGTGTACTGGACGACATCCTAACAATTTATCCAAAATTTGCTTGTCCATTTTAAAGAATGAAGAACAATTTTATTTATATTACTTCTAAGCTGCATCACTTATGAACCCATCCCTGCCCTTGTGTGGCAGTGCACAATAGAAAGTTGTTTTCACATATTCGTACATTAAAACATTGATTGTAACCATGATATGTATGTGCTTCAGCCTACAGTTTAGACCTATTGTCTTGTGTATGACCTCTGTCCTGCGTGACAGTGAATACCAGCATTATCCTCAATTTAATAAGACTTAATTGAAATCCTCAGATTAGGTAAAATTGTAATTAGTTTTGTCAGTAAAAGTGTTAATAATAATAAATGTCTTTCTGAAGATGTAGTTTCCATACCTGGATACAGTAATCCAAATGGGGGCGCAGCAGTGATTTATACAATTGAATCACTACTTTATTTTTCTTAAAGTCTTGATTATTGTACACTTGTACAAATATACTTGATTACACTTGTTAAAGTACACTTGATTATTCCAAGGGTTGGTTAGCTTGTCTGACTGCTGCTCCTACCTGTTGTGCAACTTTCAGTGAGTGGTGGATTTTGACTCCAAGATTCTATTCTTCACCAATCTGCTGTAATGTAATGTTATTAAATTGGTAGTTGTGGCGTGGGTCGCTATGCCCCACTTGCATAGTCTTGCATTTGTCAATATTAAAAAGCATTTGCCAGTCTTCTGACCATTTGTGGAGTTCATGTAGATCTCTTTGTAAGGCTTCAATATCATTATTATTTCCCACTTTACCACAAATCTTTGTGTCATCTGCAAATCTGATTGCGTGGTTGGCAATATTCTCATCTATGTCATTGATGTATATGACAAAAAGGGTTGGCCCCAAAATGGACCCCTGTGGCACCCCACTTACCACATTTATCCAGTCAGATTCGGACCTATTTAGCACGACTCTTTGTTTTTTTGTTTTAACATTGTTTTATCCAGCATGATTTTATCCACCATTGTTTTATCCAGAATGATGGGTCCTTCTCCAAGCATGATAATTCCACCCCAGCATGAAGAGTCCTTCCCCAAGCATGCAAGTTCCACACCAGCATGGCAGGTCTTTATCCAAGAACGTCTCCCCCAAGCATGATAGGTACCGCTCCCAGGATGATGGGTCCCTCTCCCAGCATGATGGGTCCCGCTCCCAGCATGAGGGGTCCCGCTCCCAGGATGATGGGTCCTGCTCCAAGCATGATGGGTCCCGCTCCCAGCATGAGGGGTCCCGCTCCCAGCATGAGGGGTCCCGCTCCCAGCATGATGGATCCCGCTCCCAGCATGATGGGTCCTGCTCCCAGCATGATGGGTCCCGCTCCCAGCATGAGGGGTCCCGCTCCCAGCATGAGGGGTCCCGCTCCCAGCATGATGGATCCCGCTCCCAGCATGATGGATCCCGCTCCCAGCATGATGGATCCCGCTCCCAGCATGATGGGTCCCGCTCCCAGCATGATGGATCCCGCTCCCAGCATGATGGATCCCGCTCCCAGCATGATGGCTCCCGCTCCCAGCATGATGGGTCCCGCTCCCAGCATGATGGATCCCGCTCCCAGCATGATGGATCCCGCTCCCAGCATGATGGGTCCCGCTCCCAGCATGATGGATCCCGCTCCCAGCATGATGGGTCTTGCTCCCAGCATGATGGGTCCCGCTCCCAGAATGATGGGTCCCACTCCCAGCATGATGGGTCCCGCTCCCAGCATGATGGATCCCGCTCCCAGCATGATGGGTCCCGCTCCCAGCATGATGGATCCCGCTCCCAGCATGATGGGTCCCGCTCCCAGCATGATGGGTCCCGCTCCCAGCATGATGGGGTCCCGCTCCCAGCATGATGGATCCCGCTCCCAGCATGATGGGTCCCGCTCCCAGTATGATGGGTCTCGCTCCCAGCATGATGGATCCCGCTCCCAGCATGATGGGTCCCGCTCCCAGCATGATGGGTCCCTCTCCCAGCATGATGGGTCCCGCTCCCAGCATGATGGGTCCCGCTCCCAGTATGATGGGTCTCGCTCCCAGCATGATGGATCCCGCTCCCAGCATGACGGGTCCCGCTCCCAGCATGATGGGTCCTGCTCCCAGCATGATGGGTCCCGCTCCCAGCATGATGGATCCCGCTCGAAGCATGATGGGTCCCGCTCCCAGTATGATGGGTCCCGCTCCCAGCATGATGGGTCCCGCTCCCAGCATGATGGGTCCCGCTCCCAGCATGAGGGGTCCCGCTCACAGCATGATGGGTCCCGCTCCCAGCATGATGGGTCCCGCTCCCAGCATGATGGGTCCCGCTCCCAGCATGAGGGGTCCCGCTCCCAGCATGATGGGTCCCGCTCCCAGCATGATGGGTCCCGCTCACAGCATGATGGGTCCCGCTCACAGCATGATGGGTCCCGCTCACAGCATGATGGGTCCCACTCACAGCATGATGGGTCCTGCTCACAGCATGATGGATCCCGCTCCCAGCATGATGGGTCTTGCTCCCAGCATGATGGGTCCCGCTCCCAGTATGATGGGTCCCACTCCCAGCATGATGGGTCCCGCTCCCAGCATGATGGATCCCGCTCCCAGCATGATGGGTCCCGCTCCCAGCATGATGGATCCCGCTCCCAGCATGATGGGTCCCACTCCCAGCATGATGGGTCCCGCTCCCAGCATGATGGGGTCCCGCTCCCAGCATGATGGATCCCGCTCCCAGCATGATGGGTCCCGCTCCCAGCATGATGGGTCGCGCTCCCAGCCTGATGGATCCCGCTCCCAGCATGATGGGTCCCGCTCCCAGCATGATGGGTCCCGCTCACAGCATGATGGGTCCCGCTCCCAGTATGATGGGTCTCGCTCCCAGCATGATGGATCCCGCTCCCAGCATGACGGGTCCCGCTCCCAGCATGATGGGTCCCGCTCCCAGCATGATGGGTCCCGCTCCCAGCATGATGGATCCCGCTCGAAGCATGATGGGTCCCGCTCCCAGTATGATGGGTCCCGCTCCCAGCATGATGGGTCCCGCTCCCAGCATGAGGGGTTCCGCTCCCAGCATGATGGATCCCGCTCGAAGCATGATGGGTCCCGCTCCCAGTATGATGGGTCCCGCTCCCAGTATGATGGGTCCCGCTCCCAGCATGAGGGGTCCCGCTCACAGCATGATGGGTCCCGCTCCCAGCATGATGGGTCCCGCTCCCAGCATGATGGATCCCGCTCGAAGCATGATGGGTCCCGCTCCCAGTATGATGGGTCCCGCTCTCAGCATGATGGGTCCCGCTCCCAGCATGATGGGTCCCGCTCCCAGCATGAGGGGTCCCGCTCACAGCATGATGGGTCCCGCTCCCAGCATGATGGGTCCCGCTCCCAGCATGATGGGTCCCGCTCCCAGCATGAGGGGTCCCGCTCCCAGCATGATGGGTCCCGCTCCCAGCATGATGGGTCCCGCTCACAGCATGATGGGTCCCGCTCACAGCATGATGGGTCCCGCTCACAGCATGATGGGTCCCGCTCACAGCATGATGGGTCCTGCTCACAGCATGATGGGTCCCGCTCCCAGCATGATGGGTCCCGCTCCCAGCATGATGGGTCCCGCTCACAGCATGATGGGTCCCGCTCACAGCATGATGGGTCCCGCTCACAGCATGATGGGTCCCGCTCCCAGCATGATGGGTCCCGCTCACAGCATGATGGGTCCCGCTCACAGCATGATGGGTCCCGCTCCCAGCATGATGGGTCCCGCTCCCAGCATGATGGGTCCCGCTCACAGCATGATGGGTCCCGCTCACAGCATGATGGGTCCCGCTCACAGCATGATGGGTCCCGCTCAGAGCATGATGGGTCCCGCTCACAGCATGATGGGTCCCGCTCACAGCATGATGGGTCCCGCTCACAGCATGATGGGTCCCGCTCCCAGCATGATGGGTCCCGCTCACAGCATGATGGGTCCCGCTCACAGCATGATGGGTCCCGCTTCCAGCATGATGGGTCCCGCTCACAGCATGATGGGTCCCGCTCACAGCATGATGGGTCCCGCTCCCAGCATGATGGGTCCCGCTCACAGCATGATGGGTCCCGCTCCCAGCATGATGGGTCCCGCTCACAGCATGATGGGTCCCGCTCCCAGCATGATGGGTCCCGCTCACAGCATGATGGGTCCCGCTCCCAGCATGATGGGTCCCGCTCACAGCATGTACTTTCCGGGTATAAGATGGAGAAGAAGAAAGCGTCTCACCTCCATCACTTAATTCTGGGGAAGTCATAAGGGCCTGGTCGTCTGAGTGGTCGTCGGCATCGCTCTCTCTGGCAGTGTCGGCCATGAAGCCGCTTCTCTCCGTCTGGTGGTACCTGTGAGGTGCATGGATAAATAGCAGTCTTAATGGTCATGTCAAATAAAGCTGCACTTTCTCCAAATACAATAGAAGCAGATGACCTCAAATTAGCCTGGCAATGCGTCTTTTTAACCTGCTTCGTGTCATTAACCTTTTAGGTCATTACTACTTCCTACAACGTGATTTATACAAAAGTATCGGATTATTAACTGCAACTCATTTATGATTATTTAAAGCACACAGTATTAGCAACCTAATCCACCTCTGGCTGGGGTTGAGTGTTGAGTGTTTTTAATAATGTTGTGAGGCAGAAATCTTTGACTTTACCATGAATAGTGGGATTCACATACACACACTTTTGTCACCTTTAATCTATCTTTATCTGTAAACGATAATATCTTCTTAGTTAGCTTGTTCATGACAGGAGACCAGACGCCTTACAAAACTTTGCAGGGTGTTCGCAAGGTCGGTTGATGCTGATCCACCCATGTCCCTCTTTTGCATGAAATGACAAATTATACCCTACACCAATCACAGTAAATAATCAGACTACATCAGCACTAAGATTTACCCCAGCATATTGTTTTCTATATGATTATATGCTAATTTGGCTTTTGTAGTTTGTTTATTGGTGAAAACAGTGTTTAGTGAAGATTGTTAATGATATCAAGGAAAAGGGATAAAGTTAGTTTTTTTTTCCAGGGATATTCCTGAACAGGCCCTAAGCCTCTGGCTGGCCCACAAAGTGTTCCTTGTTAATGCTTTAGTTAGGCGGAATATGAGTATTTATGACTCATACGGTCGCTTCGGTAAGATTATACCCAATGTGTTTAACACCTTTTTCTGCTCTGTTGAAACTCAGTTGAAATCTTAATGGGTTTGTAACTGTGCACTGTGTTAGATAATGTTCCAGTGGTCTGTCGTGCATTTCTCGACAGTGGTGACGATAGTTGCAGTGATGAGGATGGTAACAATAGTAGGGATGAAGTGGTGATTTTTTTTTTAAACAAATCACATCTGTCGGTGGACTGTCGGTTTTCCAGTTAATTTTAAAAATCCCGTGTGAGGCGTCGGGGTTTCCATGTAAATTAAAAAATCCCGTGTGGACTGTCGGGTTTCCTGATAAATTTTGGATGTGCCATTTAGGTATTCGGGTTTCCTGATAAGTTTCGGATTTGGAGTTAAAGAATTCTTATAAGGAAAATAATTTCAGAGATCAAAGAAATTTGTTAAGAAAATCTTCTAGAAAAAATCAGGGGGCAAAGTTCGCTCCCATCTTATTGAGAATAAACTCTACGGTCAATTTTTGTTTGTTTTCAAAATCACTTATTTGGATTGTTGTTGTTTAAGATTCAGCTACTGGGAACTAAAAGTTCCAAGTAGCACGGGCTATGGTGAACCCGTGATGGACTTACCTGGCACAGGAGTGGGGCTGAAACTTGAGTTCACTCTTTTATTTGGAGTTAAAGAGTTCTTATGGGAGAAATTCAAGGCAAAAGGGGACCATACATTCTTGAAGAGTTCTTATGGTGAAAATTTAGAAATTTTCAGAGCTCAATTTTATGAAAATATTTCAGAGTTCATAAGACCATTTTCAGAGAATATGTTCATAGAAGTTTTGTTAAGGAAAATAGACATTGTAGCAGTATGTTTTAGTTTAATACCCATTTACAGCTATTTCACCTATAAAAGACCAAAAATTATTCAGAGACGATTTGAAGACCGAAATTTACCGAAATTGACAGAGATTATTTTAGACCCAAATATTGTCCGAGTCCAGTAAAAGACTTAGATTATTCAGAGTCCAGAAGAAATCTGAAATTAGTCAGGGACAAGTTGAAAGACCAAAATTAGTCAGAGTCCACTTCATGACGGAAAATTAAGGCAGAGTCCGTTTGAAGACCGAAATTAATCAGAGTCCACTTTAAGACCAAAATATTTCAGAGTTTTAGTTACACCTGCGTTCTTAAAGAGTTCTTTTTGAGGAAAATTAAATATCAGAGTCCAGTTGAGACCAAAAAATTTGACAGAGTTCATTTTAAGACAAAAATTTGTTAGAGACCGAATTTATAAGTATAGTTTTGCTACTAATAGCCCAATTTTAGCCAAATTTCAAATATATTTCAGATGTAATGCAATAAATCAAAACAATTAACAAATTCTAACTCATATCGCCGTCTTAAACCCCTCGTATCTTCGTTAATACCCTATCAATGTCCCTAAAATTTAAACCCGCTGTATTTCAGGCACAGTAAATAAGATCAAGTCAGTTACCGAGCTCCAGCTCCTATCCCCATCTTAGTTCATTTGTATAACTTCTTCAGTACCAGTCCAATTTTCTTTAAATTTAAAGCAGACATACTACTAAGTAAATACAGAAAGAAAATAGTGTTTCCAAACTCTAGCTCTCATCCCCTGCCATAGTTCACTACTGTATCTTCTTTAGTATCTAACTAATTCCCTTGAGATTTAAAACATAGTTACTTCAGATATAGTAAATAAGGCCAATGCAGTTAACGAGTTTCAGCTCTTGTCCCCTGCTTTAGATTACTCCTGTAAATTTACTACTAACAGTCCAAATTCCCTGAGATTTAAAACCCCACTACATTTCAGACTCATGTAAAATAAATCATAAGCAAATTACCGAACTCCAACTCTTGTCCTCAACTTCTTAGTTTCATATATGCCTGGAGACCGTTCAGGCTTGTTCGCATTTGTGTTCCTCACGTGTGCCCCAAAGAATGAGGTGATTTGATAAAATTCCATGCCCAAGACTACCATCAGAGTGCCGGCGGGGGGATGGGGAATTAGCCTCGGCTACCATCCTCTTTTGACCGGTTGTGTTGGTCGAGTGGTTAAAGTGTCCTGTACGCCAGATGCAGAGTGCTCCTGGCAGTATGGGTTCGAGTCACTTCTGGGGTGTGAGTTTTCAGTCGCATATAGTCCTGGGGACCATTCAGGCTTGTTCCCATTTGTGTTCCTCACGTGTGCCCCAAAGAATGAGGTGATTTGATAAAATGCTATGCCCAAAATTACCATCCGAGTGCCGGCGGGGAAGTAGTTCAAATAGCTTCGGCGATCACTTCCTTATGTCCGGTCGTGATGGTCAAGCGGATTAAGGCGTCCTGTAGATACCAGTTGCGTTGCTCCTGGCATTATGGATTCGATTCACTTCTGGGGTGTGAGCTTTCAGTCATTATATATATATATATATATATATATATATATATATATATATATATATATATATATATATATATATATATATATATGTCGTACCTAGTAGCCAGAACGCACTTCTCAGCCTACTATGCAAGGCCCGATTTGCCTAATAAGCCAAGTTTTCATGAATTAATTGTTTTTCGACTACCTAACCTACCTAACCTAACCTAACTTTTTCGGCTACCTAACCAAACCTAACCTATAAAGATAGGTTAGGTTAGGTTAGGTAGGGTTGGTTAGGTTCGGTCATATATCTACGTTAATTTTAACTCCAATAAAAAAAAATTGACCTCATACATAATGAAATGGGTAGCTTTATCATTTCATAAGAAAAAAATTAGAAAAAATATATTAATTCAGGAAAACTTGGCTTATTAGGCAAATCGGGCCATGCATAGTAGGCCAAAAAGTGAGTTCTGGCTACTAGGTACGACATATATATATATATATATATATATATATATATATATATATATATATATATATATATATATATGTCGTACTTAGTAGCCAGAACGCACTTCTCGGCCTACTATACAAGGCTCGATTTGCCTAATAGGCCAAGTGATTTTCTTTATTTTCAATAAATTGTTTCCAATTAGTTTATTTGAATTATTATTATTGTATTATATTAGGAACATAAATTATTGACTTAATTGTTTTAGTTTAGATTAGGTTAAGATAGGTTAGGTTAAGTTAGATAGGGTTGGTTAGGTTCGGTCATATATCTACATTAGTTTTAACTCAAATTTAAAAAAAATTAACTCATTCATAATGAAACGGATAGCTTTATCAGTTCATAAGAAAAAAAATATTGAAAAATAACTTCAGGAAAACTTGGCTTATTAGGCAAATCGGGTCTTGTATAGTAGGCCTAGTACGACGTTCTGGCTACTAGGTACAACATATATATATATATATATATATATATATATATATATATATATATATATATATATATATATATATATATATATATATATATATATATATATATATATATGTCGTACCTAGTAGCCAGAACTCACTTCTATGCCTACTATGCAAGGCACGATTTGCCTAATAAGCCAAGTTTTCATGAATTAATTGTTTTTCGACTACCTAACCTACCTAACCTAACCTAACCTAGCTTTTTCGGCTACCTAACCTAACCTAACCTATAAAGATAGGTTAGGTTAGGTTAGGTAGGGTTGGTTAGGTTCGGTCATATATCTTCGTTAATTTTAACTCCCATATTTTTTTTTTTTACCTCATACATAATGAAATGGGTAGCTTTTTCATTTCATAAGAAAAAAATTAGAGAAAATATATTAATTCAGGAAAACTTGGCTTATTAGGCAAATCGGGCCTTGCATAGTAGGCCGAAAAGTGCGTTCTGGCTACTAGGTACGACATATATATATATATATATATATATATATATATATATATATATATATATATATATATATATATATATATATATATATATATATATATGTCGTACCTAGTAGCCAGAACGCACTTCTGAGCCTACTATGCAAGGCCCGATTTGCCTAATAAGCAAAATTTTCCTGAATTATTATATTTTCTCTAATTTTTTACTTATGAAATGATAAAGCTACCCATTTCATTACGTATGAGGTCAATTTTTTTTATTGGAGATAAAATTAACTTAGATATATAGACCGAACCTAACCAACCCTACCTAACCTAACCTATCTTTATAGGTTAGGTTAGGTTAGGTAGTCGAAAAATCATTAATTCATGAAAACTTGGCTTATTAGGCAAATCGGGCCTTGCATAGTAGGCTGAGAAGTGCGTTCTGGCTACTAGGTACGACATTATATATATATATATATATGTCGTACCTAGTAGCCAGAATGCACTTCTCAGCCTACTATGCAAGGCCCGATTTGCCTAATAAGCCAAGTTTTCCTGAATTAATATATTTTTCTCTAATTTTCATCTTATGAAAGGATAAAGCTACCCATTTCATTATGTATGAGGTTAAAAAAAATTATTGGTGTTAAGATTAACGTAGATATATGACCGAACCTAACCAAACCTACCTAACCTAACCTAACCTATTTTTATAGGTTAGGTTGGGTTAGGTAACCGAAAAAGGTAGGTTAGGTTAGGTTAGGTAGGTTAGGTCGTCGAAAAAACATTAATTCATGAAAACTTGGCTTATTAGGCAAATTAGGCCTTGCATAGTAGGCTGAGAAGTGCGTTCTGGCTACTAGGTACGACATATATATATATATATATATATATATATATATATATATATATATATATATATATATATATATATATATATATATATATATTATTCAAGGCCCGATTTGCCTTGAATAATATATATATATAATAATATATATATATATAATAATATATATATAATAATATATATATATATATATATATATATATATATATATATATATATATATATATATATATATATATATATATATATATATATATATATATATATATATATATATATATGTCGTACCTAGTAGCCAGAACTCACTTCTCAGCCTACTATTCAAGGCCCGATTTGCCTAATAAGCCAAGTTTTCCTGAATTAATATATTTACTATAATTTTTTTCTTATGAAATGATAAAGCAACCCTTTTCTCTATGTATGAGGTCAATTTTTTTTTATTGGAGTTAAAATTAACGTAGATATATGACCGAACCTAACCAACCCTACCTAACCTAACCTAACCTATATTTATAGGTAAGGTTAGGTTAGGTAGCCAAAAAAAGCTAGGTTAGGTTAGGTTAGGTAGGTTAGGTAGACGAAAAAACATTAATTCATGAAAACTTGGCTTATTAGGCAAATCGGGCCTTGAATAGTAGGCTGAGAAGTTCGTTCTGGCTATTAGGTACGACATATATATATATATATATATATATATATATATATATATATATATATATATATATATATATATATATATATATATATATATATATGTTGGCCTCTGCCTCGCTGCAAATACACCTGTATTCGGTGTGGATTGGGGCAGCGAGGCGGAGAGCCACGGCAATTCGGAGGGCCTGCGGTGTGAGACGGGTGCCGGTTGCTGACATTTGGGTTGCTAATAGGAAATCACCTGCATGGGGAGCTGCTACAGCTCTAAGTCGGGCAGTGTCATGTGGTGTTGTCGCAGCTTCTAGCAAAGTCGCAGCTTCTTGGTCGGCAATGGGGCGATCCCAGCTGGATTGCTTATGGGCTTCAGAAGGTGGTGGTTGGGGTGCTGGTCCTGCGAGAGAGACCCATTTGGTTGTGCAGTCTGTGAAGCTGGGATCATGTACCCCTGCCTGTTGAACTAGGTGCTCAGGTAGGATTTCCTTCACCAAGTTGTCAGACCCCACTGAAGAGGACAGGAACGCTGGTACAGCAATTTGTGTTGCTGTGCGCACTCCAAGGCCCCCGAGTCTGACAGGAAGGGAGGCCTGTTTCCACTGTAAGTCGCTGAGGGAAAGTTTGAGGGCTTTTTCTAGTGTTGATTTCAGCAAGCTGTCGTACTCTTCTAATTTAATATTGTTGAAAGATGGCGAACATCTTAGAAAGTAGGTCAGCCTGGGGAGGGACAAGCATCTGGTGATGAGGTAAAGTGCATCATGAGCATCGATGTCTTCAATCCTCTCGTTCATCCTCTTCAGGTCAGTGATCTTCTTACCAAGGACCCCGTCGATGGCATTCCTTCCAAGTGGAGCACCTAGGAGTGTGCTGTCCTCAGGGTTGGTTGTATGAATGTCAGGCAAAACAACCTTAATTTGCTCTATTGCTATATATGTATTTTTTTGCTATATTGCTATATATATATTTGCTCTATTGCTATTGCTTTATTTGCTATATATATATACATATGTCGTACCTAGTAGCAAGAACACACTTCTCGGCCTACTATGCAAGGCCAGATTTGCCTAACAGACGGAGTAATTTTCTTTATTTCCAATAATTTTTTCCCAAATAGTTTATTTAAATTATTATTATTATTTTATATTAAGACCATAATTTATTGACTTAGTTGTGTTAGTTTAGGTTAGGTTATGAGAGGTTAGGTTAGGTAGGGTTGTTTACGTTCGGTCATATATTTACGTTAGTTTTAACACAAATTTAAACAAATTAACTTATACCTAATGAAATGGAGAGATTTATCATTTCATAAATTTTTTTTGAAAAATATATAAATTCAGGAAAACTTGGCTTATTATACAAATCGGGCCTTGCATAGTAGGCCAAGTACGACGTTCTGGCTACTAGGTATAACATATGTCTATATATATATATATATATATATATATATATATATATATATATATATATATATATATATATATATATATATATATATATATGTCGTACCTAGTAGCCAGAACACACTTCTCAGCCTACTATGCAAGGCTCGATTTGCCTAATAAGCCAAGTTTTCAAGAATTAATATATTTTCTCAAATTTTTTTCTTATGAAATGATAAAGCTACCCATTTCATTATGTATAAGGTCAATTTTTTTTATTGGAGTTAAAATTAACGTAGATATATGACCGAACCTAACCAACCCTACCTAACCTAACCTAACCTATCTTTATAGGTTAGGTTAGGTTAGGTTAGGTAGACGAAAAAGTTAGGTTAGGTTAGGTAGTCGAAAAACAATTAGTTCATGAAAACTTGGCTTATTAGGCAAATCGGGCCTTGCATAGTAGGCTGAGAAGTGCATTCTGGTTACTAGGTACGACATATATATATATATATATATATATATATATATATATATATATATATATATATATATATATATATATATATATATATATATATGTATATATATATATATATATATATATATATATATATATATATATATATATATATATATATATATATATATGTATATATATATATATATATATATGTCGTACCTAATAGCCAGAACGCACTTCTCAGCCTACTATTCAAGGCCCAATTTGCCTAATAAGCCAAGTTTTCATGAATTAATGTTTTTTCGTCTATCTAACCTACCTAACCTAACCTAACCTAGCTTTTTTTGGCTACCTAACCTAACCTTACCTATAAATATAGGTTAGGTTAGGTTAGGTAGGGTTGGTTAGGTTCGGTCATATATCTACGTTAATTTTAACTCCAATAAAAAAAAATTGACCTCATACATAGAGAAAAGGGTTGCTTTATCATTTCATAAGAAAAAAATTATAGTAAATATATTAATTCAGGAAAACTTGGCTTATTAGGCAAATCGGGCCTTGAATAGTAGGCTGAGAAGTGAGTTCTGGCTACTAGGTACGACATATATATATATATATATATATATATATATATATATATATATATATATATATATATATATATATATATATATATATATATATATATATTAGGAGTATACTGTGAAGGTTTTTGACAAGGCGATCCAGTGAATGCTGGTACACTGATACAGTGAATGTTTACAAATGAATATGAAGGAAGGAGTGAAAAACCTGACCTAGAGAACAGCCATCTACACCTATACCTCACCTGGAGTAGTGGTTGTAGCGGCTGTGGTAGAAGGAGAGCCCTTCAAAGCGCTGCTGGTACTCTGCCGATGTGTGCTGCCGGAGAACACAAACACCTTTCATCAACTCATTATAATATAAACAATTTCAAGAACTCATCCTCCTGTTTAAATAGTACTTTTTGTAGCTATGTGGATCATCGTACATACATAGACGTAACGGACAAATACATAATAGACTTTTGTATCATTCACTTTATAGAGTCCGACAAAAATAAAGCTAAAAACCAAACTTCAATATTCCTAGGCCTAGTATAGCACATATATGCACTTAGGCCTCAGATAGCTTGTATTAGGCCTAGAAAAGTTAGGTTAGATTAGGTTAAGTTTTCTTTGCAACATTCAGACAATGTTGTAATGCAATGTTCTTTGCAACATTCAGACAACACTCAGCCCCCTGTTTAAATCCCTAAACATGCTAATCATAAACTTACTCCTCACATTCTCTTGTGCCATTTACATGTACAAAACCTTGTTCCTAAATGCAAATCCTGATCTGAACCCCTTTCTTGACAGATGTAATAGAACACCGGAAAATCTGTGTAAACACTATATGCAAATAATGGGACCTAGTCTATGGAACTCACTTCCCTGACGAATTAAAAAGCTGTCCCCCCCCCCTTATTCAAAAGTAACATAAAAAAGTACCCAATTTATTCCTCATAGTTTCCAGCCCTGTGCTTCACACTCGCACTGTAGCTTGTGCTACACACTCCCCAATATATGTGTATAAGCCATGCAATTTCACCAGTGTAATCACTGCTATCATCTTACATCATGGTTGTTATGTTGAACGCAAATTTTGCTACAATGTACCTATTAATAATCTCAAATTATGGTACAATGTACCTGTTAATATTCTTCAAATGTTGCTACAAATTATCTGCTTAAAAGTATCAGATTCAGGACCTTCCCGAAAAGCTATGCGTTTCAGTGTCTTTACAAGAATGTAAAAACATCAATGCTATGTACTCTCATAAACCCTTTGTACCTTCTTGTAAATATATATATATATATATATATATATATATATATATATATATATATATATATATATATATATATATATGTCGTACCTAGTAGCCAGAACGCACTTCTCAGCCTATTATGCAAGGCCCGATTTGCCTAATAAGCTAAGTTTTCATGAATTAATTGTTTTTCGACTACCTAACCTACCTAACTTTACCTAAGCTAACTTTTTCGGCTACCTAACCTAACCTAACCTATAAAGACAGGTTAGGTTAGGTTAGGTAGGTTTGGTTAGGTTCGGTCATATATCTACGTTAATTTTAATTCCAATAAAAACAAATTGACCTCATACATATGGAAATGGGTAGCTTTATCATTTCATAAGAAAAAAAATAGAGAAAATATATTAATTCAGGAAAACTTGGCTTATTAGGCAAATTTGATCTTGCATAGTAGGCCAAAAAGTGCGTTCTGGCTGCTAGGTACAACATATATATATATATATATATATATATATATATATATATATATATATATATATATATATATATATATATATATATATATTTTGTGACGATAATCTCTTTCAAGAGAGATTGAGCCTGCTCTTCCCTACATCATTACGTCGTACATACAAGATACTATATAGAAGATACGTCCACCAGTATCGCCAAACGTTTTGCCCAGGAAGCAAATCGTACCCTGCACACCCCAACACCTGGCCACAGTCCGCCGTAACCAGCAAACTGCTCATCATCTGCCTGCCTGTTGCTGATTGGCTGGTGTCTCGTCGCACCTGCACTCACCACCACCACCGCGAGTCGACGTCTGGGCAGCAGCACGCCAGACTCGTCAGAATATCTTTGTGCTCCTTGGAGTTGACATCTCTCGCTGGTAGACTAAGCCTTGGCTTTCATGTACTAAGGGAGGTGGCAGCTTGAAGCCAGTATTCCAGCACCCATTATTTTATTTATATTGCTATCATTATAACTTACTTGTCTTAGAGTAACTTTCATTGCCAGTGATTATTCATGTTATTTTGTTTGTTGACCAGTGTTGAATTTTATGAGATTGCCTTTATTCATGTCTTGTTTTCTAGAGTAATTAAAATTTCATTGTTTATATACTTGTGTTTTGTGTGTCTTCCCATTACCTTACCACAGACGAAAGGACAAACTTTTCTCTTTTTTTTTTGTGATGTGACGAGGCCCTGCCCCTGTTGTAATCCACAAGTTAGTAGGAATTATTAGCTAGAGGATCATTACTACAACACTTAACGAATGATGATTGGAAGTTCATGTAAGTAGACAGACTATGGATCACATATCTAAGAAAGGTCAATGGATTAAGACCGAAGCTGTTTAGCCAAATGATTAATTCCTGGAAAGAGGAATTATTCTTCGTCAGGCTTCTAGGAACAAGATTACCTCTCTAGGGATAAGGTTAATCGGATTATACCTTCCTTGAGAGGTGGGGTGAAATGGTTGAGGGAGATGGCTGACTGGAGGCAGTCTGATTGTGGAAGTTGAACGAGCAAGTCCTTTTGGATCCCCGGTTGTGGCAGCAGCGAAGTGTAGCAGACAGCTATGCGAGAGCCTGTTGTGATCTTAGTGACCAAGTTAAGTCTGCAGTATGTGAGTATTGAATGTAAGACTAACCGGGTGTGGAGCGTTGTAGTAATCATTCCGTATTAGGGACTTAGGCGGAAGTTACGAGTGTGGGTGGTGATCGCGGAGGTCAAGTGGTCTAGGGGTATTGGAAGTGTATTGACCTAATAGAGTATGTTAATTAATATAGTATTATTTGTCAGAGTCTATTCTTTGTAATTAAATGACAAAATCCGACGGCCTTTAAATACCTTCCGTATGTTCATTCATTGTGTTCCAGTACAAACCTAGTGGTACGCCTCAAGGGTCTGGTGTGTGTAGGAGTACACGGTGGTAGTAACGGGTGCTGAGGCAAGGTGTTATGTGTTGTGTAATCGCTGTGTTCGGAATGAACCGGGGTTCAGCGTCACGACATATTTGGTGGCAGCGCAAACAGGTTTGGAACACTTTGAGAGATGAAGGAAGTGTGTTACTGGTTTAGTTGGTGAGGGAATGTTCGGGAATTGGTAGACGTCGGGTTGTGTTCAGAACGGTGGATATTGGAGTGAGGAAGGGAAGGTGTGTGGGCCAGTGAGTGGCCATAGTGGGGTGTGGGGCCAAGGTGTGTGGCCAAGTGGAGTGGCCACGTTGTGCGGCAGGGAAAGGTCCCCTAAGGGGTGGAAACAGTAGTGTGGATAACTGATAAGTGACGTTGTTAATGGAGGCTTAAAATTATAAGTGATTCTAGTGAGATTAAGGGAATAAGGCCAAGTAAGGTTACTGTACGGTAAAGCGTCAAGCTGGTTCATACACGAGCACATAAGGGGCGAGTAGCCATGACGGGTACGGGTAGTAATAGGGGCGCCAGTGGCCAGGCCACGAGTAATGTCGGTCAGGGTGAGAGTGGTGATAACACGGCGGCGTTGCTTACGGCGCAGGCGGCAGCGTCAGAGACAATTGGGCAGGTTGCACAGTGGTTGAAAAATGTGTTGAGCACGCATGAGACGACTAATGCAGGACCTAAGGTATATGGAGACATACCCACGTTTTGGGGCGCCAAACGGGATTCGAAAGGTCAGTTACTGACGGATATTAGAACATTTTTCTTTGCTCTAGAGAAGGCGACTAGTGTGGGGTCATGGTCGGATCAGGCAAAGATTGCATTGGCATATTCCAAGGTGAAAGGGGAAGCAAAGACCCTGCTCAACTCTGCGGAAATTAGAGAAATAAATAGTTATAGCGAGTTTAAGCAGGAACTGATAGATCATTACGATGTGCAGCACGATGCAGTAGAACTAAAGGCTCAGTTAGCTGCACTTAAACGAGAACCAGGGGAACAATTAAGGGCGTTTGGCCATAGAATAAGACTCTTGGGTGATGTGATTGAGCGGACGGAAACGCAGTTCACGGGGGTAGTAAGAGATTCTATGCAACGGAGTGTTTTTTTCGGTGCATTACCGCGGGAAAGTGCGTTACACTGCAGGGAAGCTAAGTCTTTTAAGGAAGCGGTGAAACATGCAGTGTTTTGGGCGGAGAATAGCCCGACACATAAACTGACAGAGGATGACATTTTCAAGGAAGTGTCCCCTAAGGAACAGGCAAATCTAGCAGACACGCAAGAGAGACAGGCTCAGCTCTGGGCCCCAGTAGCTCAGCCAGTGGAGGATGGACCCGCGGCGGGGGTCACACATTCCAAGGGCAAGGGGCGAGGTGCTCCTCGACGTAACAATAATAAGGGCTGGGAGCCAAGGGTGTTCCAGGGACACAATACGAGTGGGGTGTCGTGGGGACCCCATCAGGGTACTCGTGGGCAGCGAGGAGGCTATAATCAAGGGGCACGTGGAGGCAGGTTCACTCCTGCTCCACCACGATACTCGCCTGCTCAGGGAGCAACAGGAATGTACCACCAGAACCAGGGTACCGGTAGAGGGTATCCCCGGGGAACGGGGTACACTGCAGGTAAACACGAGCCAGACCGACCTAAGCAGACAAAAGTGTGTAAGCTGTGTGGTGACGGTGGTCACTTGGCCTGGCAGTGTAAGCTTTTTGTTCCGCCTAATTACCCAGTGTGTACAGTAGGTGGTGGCGGACAGTGGTTGTGTACCGTCGGGTCGGGTCATCCCATAAAGGTGCATTTACGGTTAAAGGGCACTATCTATACAGCCTTGGTGGACACCGGTGCTTCCGTGTCCATCATGAGTCGTAGCGTGTTAGGATCAGACGTCAGGCTGATACCTAACAACAGGAGATTAACGGCGGTGGGGGATAATGCGTTGCGGGTGTTGGGTGAGACAACTGTGGATTTCCAGCTAGAAGATAGATGGTTTAAACATAGTTTTGTAGTAATACAGGATATAGGGCTGAAACATACCAACATTATCCTGGGAATTGATTTCCTCGAAAAATACTCATGTACCATAGCGTTCAGCGCAAGGGGGAATAAATTGGTATGTGGGGGTCAAGCGGTAGACGTTAACAAGGT